ACTATTTCCCGTGGGGGCGGGGGCGCCTTTGGGGGGGGGGGGGGGGTAGGTGTAGGCGGGGCGGAGACTCCGGGGAGGTATTGGGGGAGTGAGTGGCTGGATTTTGTTCCCAGAGTCGATCTCGCCTTTGGTCTCCCGCGCGTGCTGACAGAGGTGGACTTGTAGATTTGGTTGATGGGGTAAAATCTAAGTCGGCGCTCATCGTGTCCCCCTTGGGCCGGCGACAAACTCGCTCCGCATCGTAGGGATGCGAGGTCAATTGTGTATTGACGAACTAGGCAGGCATTTACATAAGTACACCCGCTCCTTCCCTCGGCCGTGTACTAGGTAAGGTAAGTCTACATCCGCGCGCCCCCCCGCCCGCCCCCCGCCCCCCTCGCGCAACCGTGCAGTCTCGTTGCTCCTTGGCGGCATGCGTTTCACATGAGTACACCCACCCCTCTCTGCAAACTCCTCGGCAATGTACTTACCCTTACCTTAATTCTACACCCGCGCCCGCCTTACCCCCCCCCCACGCCGTGCAGTCTCGTTGCCCCTCGGTGCGGCGGCGGGGGCCGTCCCCGGCATGCTCGGAGGCATGGGAATGGGCATGGGAGACAAGACGGTGCGCGAGCTGTTCGTGGGCAACACTCCTCAGGGAACTTCGGACTTCGTGCTTCTCGAGTTCCTCAACGCCGCCATGAAGCAGGTGGGCCGTCTTGATGTTTGGTCGCCTCCGATCGTTGGTGGACGGTGTGTCGATTGCCGGGGTGGTACGTGATCCGAGGTTTGTGGGGAAAGGGTTGTGCTGCTGGCGTTGTTCTGTCCGGGTGCGGCTGATTTAGAAGAGCGGAGCTGGAAGTTTGTGTTGTTGGTTCCTCAGATGTATCGGCGCTGGGGCGGTCATGTTGTTCGGAGATGTTGCCAACCTTGAGACAGTTCTTTTCACCTTGTCTCCCGGGCTCGAGAGCGGACAGCAGTGGGATTTGTGTCCCAAGGATGGCGGAGAATCAACAAAAACAGCGTGCAAGCTACCGCCGTAGTGGTCTCTCTTTAGTGCCGGTATGTGCCCCGAAAAAAAACGGGCACTACTATACCGGACTGGCACTATTCGAAGTATTGAGAATGGCGTGGAAATTCAGTGTGTGCCCGCCGAAAACACCGAACCGGCACTATTCAACCGGCACTAAACACGGGGACCCTACTGCTGTAGAGCATACGGTATGTATTTGATTTGACGCAATATACCACACCCCCCTTTTTGGGGCCGATTTTGAACGCTCGACTACTCCACGAAGAAGAGGATGCCGAAATCAAACAAAATGTTTTCGGATCGGAAACATGTCGACGAGACGCACCGCCACTGCTTCTGCCGCGGAGAAATCGAGCCATAAGTATCGGTCCAGGGAGTGTGTTATCTTGTGTTATCTGCGGTAGGCTCTCTGCCGTCTTTGATGCCGTTGGATTTGGCGGAGCGAAGCAGGCATGCCGCTGGAGTGGTGGTCTTGGTTGGTTGGTTTATGGTCGTGGTAGGCAGTTGTGTAGCGTGTACTCTTGAGAGGAGAGGCTTGCGACGGATGTACCAAAGCTTTCCGAGCATGACGTGGTACGTGTGGTAATGACATCGGAGCGGTACCTCGTTTACAGAAGAAGGTAGTTGCGGGGTGAGGTGGCTGACACCGTGAGCGATTCGCGTTTCGAATTGCCTCGCGAAGCTGTACATGAGTTGCTCTCTGCTGCTGCCGCTGCTTTCGAGAGTGTCTTGACTTGTTTGGTCACTCGTCAAACGCAAACTCAAACGCGGTTGAAATATCCAAGGCCGCGGATCGCTCCCTCTGGCGCTAATGAAGAACAGTGCCGCTTTGTTGTTGCTGTTGCTGCCGTCCGGTGTGATGCTGCTGCTGTTGTTGTTTTTGTTTGTGTGTGTTGTTGTTGCTGCTGCTGCTGTTGCTGCTTGCCGCTGCTGCTGCTACTGCTGCCGCTTCTGTTCTGTCGTGTTGTGTGTTACCCTACCACCACCACCACCACCCCTGCTTTTGTTTGGCGTGCCCCCCCCCCCCCCTCCAATTTGTGTGGCCCCCCTTTACTTAATGTCCCCACGGATATCTACACCTCGTGTCGTGTGGTGTATTGGGTTTCCGAATGGCCATCGGCGTGTCTCATATGGCGTTCTACCGTCGATGCATGATCGCCGACTATACCCCACGGCAAAAATAAAAAACGACCCCCTCTTTTTTGTTTTCAATCTGGTGTCTTCTGTCGATATGGTGCGGTAATCGATACGGCATCGGCAGGAGCATGGATTGCTGTTGCCCTTTCCATTTCCACATACACGGATCACCTGCGCGTTATTCCCCAGAGGCGAGATACTGGGGGAGGCGGTGTAGAAAAATACCCGTGTTCCTTGATATCATATGTATTCATCTACCGTATATAGGTGACATGACGTAAGGTATCACACCCCCTTGACCGGTTTTCAAAGCGGAGGGAGTGGCGGTGCCGGAAATGGCGGCATTGGAACAGTCTCGTTCGAGAGCTTTCCGAAAATGGATCTTTTTGATTTCGGTATCCTCTTGGTCGTGGAACAACAAGATAGAGGTTTGAAATTCGGTCCAGGGGTGTGGTATCTTGTGTCATGTCACCTACGGTATAGGTCGGCGGCAGAAGGAGGGCGCGTCGCGTGTGCTTTTTATTGATAGCATGCAATCACAGAAATACTAAAAAACCGTTCGGATGTGTTGAAATAAAAGTCTTCGCAGTGAGGGGAGAAGAACCGTTTTCTTTAAGGCTGTGCTCCGCCTGGGCGATTGCTTCGTATTTTTGTGGTCGATGTTGGTTATTTTGCTTAAAATAGTGGAAGACCAGTTCAGTGTATCTAAATCGCGCAAGAAAAAAAAGCCTACGGAGGACAGCCCTAGCTTTTTGTGTTTTCGGCTTGTGGTGGTGGTGTTGTGCCCTCTGCGCTGTGGACTCCCCCGTGTCCGCCCACGTGCCGTCGCTTCGTGCTCTTGTATTTTCTGTCTTTTGGGCCTCGCCGCGCCGCAAGCCGTGCCGGTGTCGATCGAACCTACTCCCGGCCTCTTTGAAACGCGATGCGGTGTGATGAAAAATCGTGGCAAAAGAAGGGGAAGGGGGGCTTGCTGAGAAAACGAATTTGTGGTGGTAAAGGCCGCGGGTGGAGGTGAGTCGGTGCAATGATAGTACCAAGGGCTTTGGTCATGGGTCCTCCTGTTCATATCATCGCGCCACAACAACAACAACATCGGCAGTGCTTTAGGACGCGGTGAGTCCTGTTTAACACCCCCCCTCTCTCCTAGCACCCTGGCGCTTTTCCGCTGCTGCCGTTTGAGGGTGTCTGAGATAGTATTGGAGGGTACACAAGTACCGTCAGGTTGACACGGTCTTTGGAAACAGCTTAAAAATGATGGTGGCACTGAAGCATTTTGGGTTCCGAGTTGTCTTGGGATGCTCCAGTAGACAGCGAAGGGTTTGTTAACCTCTGCCCTCCAACACTCCCCGCTGTGCGTTGCTGTTCGCCTTCTGGGATGCCCCTGCTGACCAAAAACGCCTCTTCGTCTCTCGCCCCCCCCCCCCCCCCCCCCCTTTTTTGGGCCGGGGGTCCCGGGCTCCCCAAACCCGCTTGAGGTTTTTTTTAGGCAACCCCCCCCCGGGCCCCGGGAACCCGGGGGGGGCCGGCCCGGCCAAAAAAAAAACCCCCTTCGGGGAATCCCGGGGGCTGGGGGGGGGGCCCAGGGCCCCCACCCCCAAGGGGTTCCCTTTTTGGGGAAGGGGGAAAAAAGCCCCCCCCCCTTGTGGACGGGGGCCCCGGGGGGTTCTTTTCAAGGGGGTTGTGTTTGGCCAAGGGGGGGGGGGGGGGGGGGGGGGGGGGACAAAAAACTTTTCCCCCTTTGGGGAAAAAACGGGGGGGGCCCCCCAGGGGGAATTTTTAAAAACCCCCCCCGCAAAAAAAACCTTTTTTTCCCGGGGGGTTTTTTTTTTCTTTGC